AGCTGAGTAAGTAAGCCTCTATTTCATCATCTGTAAACTAGGGTTATTTACAAGGATTAAATTCAATGATGTAGAAAAAGTCAATACAGTGCCAGGTACATGGTAAGCACTCATTAGATGGCAGAGATTATTCTCCAATCTACATTTTGTCAGTATTTAAAATAAAAATGCACATCACACAATCCTATATGAAGTCCTTCCAAACTATAAATTATTTTTAAATCCTTCTTTTCAGTGTCACTCATCATTTTTTTCCATAAACAAACCTGATGCCGACTCTGGGATGGGTATTATGCTAGGGATGGGGCATGTCCTGACAGACAAGATGCAGGTCTACTTTTCATGAGATACAGCCTGGAGGTGGGTGCAGGGAAGAAGATCGTTGTTTCCCACATGAAGGGATAAGGACTAGAAGAGGGAAATTCATTGGACATTATGAGATCAGATGAGGGGAAGCTAGGGGAGAAAAAGGCATCTACCTGGAGGGAAAATAAAGATGGTTAAATTATCTTCAGAATAAAAGGGGAATCTGCCAGGAAGTTGAGGTATCACATTTTCTAGACAAAGGGTCATCACACTGACGTGGCTGTCCCATTTGGTCTGGCTGGGGTTAAGCGGGCACATGAGGATACAACAGAAGATGAAGCTTCAGAGGTGACTATGAAGAGCTTTCAATGCCACGTGGAAGGTTTGGATGCCATCCTGAGGAGCTTGACAAGCTATAGATAAATTTTCAAATGAGACACGGGAGGGGGAGAAAGTCAGAACCTAAGATTTAAATTCAAAAAGTCCCTGGAAGGATTTTAAAGGCTTGATTAGAAAGAAACAAAAATCCTGAATTCAGTCTAGAGCCCTTCCTTTCCCATATCTCATAAATGAATCATCAGCAAATCCTCTACGGTCTAAATTAAAAATATATCCAAACTCTGACATTTCTCTTACCACCTCCACTGCTCCCATGCTTGTCTCAACTAGTATCATGTCCCACCTCAACTACTGAATGACAAGTTATTTACCCTCCATCCTATCACCCAGAGTGATCCTATTAAAGAAATAGATCTGATGTCACTCCTTTGCTCAAAACCTCAAAGACTTTTTATTTGACTCAGAAGGCAGACCTAAGCCCTTACATGAAAAGCCCTAAAAGATCTGCCCCACCGCTGACTCCTACTCTTATCTTATCTCCCTCTCATGCCCTCTACCTCTACCTTGCTCATTCCACCCCAGTCCAGCTGCCCCCTTGCTCTTCTTCAGATTTACCAGGTGAGCTCCTGGCTCAGAGCCTGCTGTTCCCTCTGCCAAAATCATTCTTCTCCTGGTTTCTTCTTGCATTAACTAATTAATAATTGAGTAGTTAATGGAAGAAGGGAGACCAGTTAAGAAGCATTTCAAGCAATATAAGTCAGATGATAACAGTCAAAATTAAGAACAAAATAGATTAAAATAGGAAAAAAAATTAGGTATAAGATAAGCACTGTTTGGTGATCTCTTGAATGTGGAAAGTGACTAAGAGGGAGCAGGTGCAGCTAATCCCTAGGTCTCCAACTTAGAATACAAGGTAGATAGCAGTGACATTCACCAATTTTAGAAACAGTGCAGAGTAAGTGTAGTGCTGGGGAGAAAATTCAGTTTTGAACTGAACTGTTATATTTAAGGAGGTTTTAAAACATCCATAAGATGTCTGGTGATAATTGGCAGTAATGGCATGGAACTCAAAAACAGAGGTCTGGGCTAAAGATCTATCCTAGAAAATATTATCCTATAGAACGTTTCCTAAACCATGACATAAAGTATGATTACTCAGGAAGAATGCTTCGTAGGAGAAGACAACTGTGGACCAAACCTTTGTTACTAAGATATCTGAAATCTTATTTAAAAGGACACAAAATTGTCTAAAAGTCCTTTATATACATATCATGTGCACCTGAATTTGCAGTTACCCTGTCACTGTTTTCCTCCATTCTTTCAGATAATGGAAATTATTCCCAATGGCTCTATTAATCCACAGCCCTATAATGGTTGTAAGTATGTGTCAATAGCAAAGATTAATTACTACAGTAGCCTTATATAAATTTGATATATTAATGTAAGACTTACTTTCAAGTTAAAATTAAATCAACAATTATTTTATTGCACACTTACTAAAGTCCTACCTCTCAGTATATGTTGATCCCCTTTGCTTCCCCCAAGTGAAGTCAGAAGAGACAGAAGTCCCAAAGCTTTCCTATCTCCTGTAGTGTGAGGGAGGAGGTGTATATGAAAGGAAGAGCATGTGCTTTGATTCAAACAAACCTAGTTTCAGTTTTCAGCTCTGCCATTCCTGAGTAATTTTTAGTTATTTACTCTCTGACCCTCAGTTCTCCTATGTTCAAAACAGGGTTCATAATACCTGCTTTACAACTGTGAAGATTGGCAATATACATGTACAATGCCTGACACTTACACTCTCATGATAAAAGTATGGAATACATTTTCCAACATTAACATAACGTTTTCAAGTCAATAAAAGAGAGCAAAGAGAGGGGGAAGATGGTTAAACATGTTACAACTGAATTATCTGTTTTGCTGTTTAAATGCAAGCACTAAAAATCTCACTAATCAGGAACAAGCTTTGAAAGCAAAGTATTTTCTTGCACAGATTTCCATTGCATTGAGTAAAAATTCAGTGTTTACAAACATGTTTTCTCTACTAGTTTACAAAGTAAATATTGTGCACAATTTAGACTGTGTTGGCCTAAGCTTTGTAACCAGCCACATGCAGAGGGGTTCAATGACAAGGTTCACTATCAACAAGAAAGATATTTCTTCAGCTGTTTCTACAGGGTGGAACAACCCATTCTTATGCAATTAATTATGGCTTGTGAGATTAGATGACTTGAGCTCCACACCCTTTATTTATTGAGTCATATGTTTCATGGTGCTTTTTAGTCATTGAGTTTAACGTGTTTTCCTTGAACTGAAGCAAAGTTGGTGCTAAAGCCATTCCCATGGGAGGCTCATCCAAGCTAAAGCATATGCTGACTTGAGCCTTTGGCTTTTCTTTTCAGCCTCCAACCTACTCCTAATCTTTCAGTACTTCTCCCTCCACACTCACAAATCTTAACACATTAGTTCATCTCTGGTTGAGGAGAAGGGTCAATCCATTGGTCCAAAATCCATTAGGTTTTTGGGTTTACCCTAGACTCCAAACCTGTCTCCTTTTGGCTCTGCCACTACTCAGCAGCCACTAACATTTTCTGAAATCACAAATGCCAAACTCTGAATTTGTGATCGCATGTCATTGGTACAGTGACCACCTAAGGTAGAAGATGAGTAAATGGAGTCTCAAAAATCAGCAAATGTCAAAGTGCCAATTTTCTCCAACTTGAAGTTTACCACAGTAGTGGTTTCCAAATACTGGACTCTGGACCAGCATCAGTGACAGTCAGTTTTCACCAGTATAGCAAAATGAACAAAGGAAGAGCAATAGAGTAAACAGGTATCATAAGGCTAAAGCCAAGTTATTTATTTTCTGATAGCCTGAGATTACGTCCTTCCTACTTCTAGGTACTTCAGTGTCCTTTCTTTAAATGATAAGGTTTGAGCATGGTTATTTTTTTTAACATGTTTATCCACCAGAATTGAAGGTTGGCAAGTCTAGGTCTGCCTCCAATAATCTTTTGAAATGTTACTGGTCCCAGAACCACAGAATACAATGTGCAGGTGGTACATTGCAAAATAGCAGGAAGTGCCCTTCTGTAGGTTTCTGAGTTATGCAGAGCCCAAACAAGATCAGGCAACCCTGAAATGAAACCTAAATGTCTGGGAATCACTGACCCTCAGAGCATTCTTTTCACACTTATACCAGAATGTTGGCAAAACAAATAGGAAAAATGAAAGACTATATTCTGGCTAAATGTAACTGCTTTTCAGCTCTGTTAAGTCTTTTAAATCTGACACATGCTTATAAGTTAACACATGCAACAAGTATTTATAAATATCATAAGTATTTATCACCTATTTATGCCAGGCAACCTGCAAAGTGTCTGAAACATAAGCATGCACACTATCTCTTCCCTCCAAAGGCACACAGCCTAGTGGTAACCTATTTAACTAGAAATATATTTCATAACATAACTTCATTGATCTTCAAAATGGCTTGTGAGGCAGATACTATTAATTCCATTTGTCAGACTAGGAAACTCTCAGATTAATGACAGTGTGATCTCCAAGCACACAAGGGATAAAACAGAAATTCACACTTAGCCCTTCTGGTTACCTCCCTCGTGCAAGTATATGTGGTTGTGGGTAGGTGAAGAAGATAGCATCTGGACTATATACTCAATATAATACCATGTACTCTATTAGTACAAATCTTTTGACTCACACTGAAGTTGACAAATTCATGGGGGAAAAATGATAAATCATGCAAATCTGCTGCTGGTATAGTTCTTCATTTCAGGGGCTTGCTACTCTTTATGGATCTCAACACTTATCCTCTGTTCACACCCCACTTTTAATAATATGGAGAATATGACAGTGAGGAATGCTACTGTTCTGACTCCCTTTCCCCCACTCCCCACCCAAAATGATTAATCTTCTATACACCACTGGGATGGTGCCCAGTTATGGGAGGTTACTACAGTAAGTGTCCAACATAGGGTCTTAGAAAAACTTACAGCAAAACAGAACAATTAGCTGTTATTCTTGAGAACTTCATCAACTGACAGAAGAAGGGAAAGTAAGTGCAAAGCATAGGTCAGATTTACTTATTTTTCTATCAACTACCAAAATGTCAACAGTTCTGTGCTGAAAGAAATTTGAAAGAAAAATTATTAAGGAGAATGTTAGTTCAGGTTCATTTCCAGGATTATGTTCTGATCAATAATCACTGCAGTTTCCTATAAATAGAACCACATATAGGCTAAAAGACTTGGGGAGGCAATAATGATCATGAGAACTGAAATCATGGCTTCTCTAAGTGAAAGAATTAGTCTTTGATCATTTTCTCTTGTTCTAAGGCCAGCACGGGTACCATCAGCCTCAAGATTCCTGAATCCCTATGTAGTGGGTTTCGTTGTTGTGGCAGGAGTGGTAATCCTGGCAGTGACCATAGCTCTACTCATCCACTTTTTAGCCTTTGGTAAGTACTAGAAGACTAAAAGTACCACTTTTTAGACCAAATAACTAAATACACCTTCAGATGACAAGTCTGTCATTCTTTTATTGCCACTTTTATTTTCTAATATAACCTAATTGAGGGTCTTCTATATCTCTAAATACATGTTTCTGTCTATATATTCCCTCAATCAGTACTTTTCTCTTCTCTGTCTCTTTTGTTTTTTTTTTAAATAAACATTATTACCCAGGCAAGAATTACTCTAGCCAAATGAAAAACGTCTCTTGATTCTTTTCTGACATTAGAATTTACTTACTGTGTTTTTTCACTTAATATCATGATTTCCTTCTTCATATAATAACCTGATAAAACTGTAGAAGTGAAATATTGCAAAGAACTTTAAGTTTCAACACCTAAAAATTGGATGTACCTAGTTATTTGTTAATTCATGATCTATTTCCTGATAAAACAGTCTTAGTTAAGAGAACAGTTATGAAAGATAAGGGAAAAAAACAAATTTTTAAAAAGATCTGTTCTTTTACTTTTCTCTATTATAACAAAAATATAGATCATATGGACAAGAAACAATATAAAGAACACATATACCCTGCTCATTCATAAACAATGCTCCTTAATATTTCAGTGAACATCCCTTTCAGATGTTTTAACGTAAATATGTTAAATTTCACTAGATAACATAGGCTATAATCTGATTTTATCACTTATAAATGCACTTTGAGGTTATTTTATTTCAGCTACAATTGTGCTAAGTCATTTAAATCATATGTGTGGGTGTAGGTATGTGGGTATCCATGAATATGGAGAGAAAGAGAGAACATAACTTATTGTATGTTCTATTGTAAATGGGCAAAAATGCTTATTTGAGAGTTGAAAAACTCCTAGCGGCACAATAAAATTACCAACATTAGAAAAAACAGTAATGAGGAATAATATTTCTCAGCCAATCTAATTACAAAGTTGTTGCTACATTTTGCTATCAAATCACCCAGAGTCAACTATGTCTTAGGTGAACTACAGAGGCAGGAAAAAGAAATCTCAAGTTTCCAATTAAATTAATGAATTTTCACTTTTGATGGTACTATATTGTCACACAAACAGAACCTAGGTTAATCCTCTTCAGAGGGTGACCATTTACAGCCCTTCAAAGACTTGTCCTTCCACTACAAAGGAATACATTACCCTTCCACCAGGATCTCCAACTTTTTCTCCTGATTGAAGTATTTCTCTGCATTAGTTATCGCATATGAATGATCAAAAGAAAGCAGGGATTTTCCTGAGACAGATTAGGTTATGCCCTTGTTCATAATGTTTCTAAGATGTATACAGTGTGTTTTGGGAGTCTTTATTTTCCTCACACAGCTGAATATGTCCTCTGGAAGACTTTTTTTGATGAAAACAATTCACACTGGACAACCAATTAGATATCCTGTTCAAAGGCTTATTTTCTAGTTTTAGTCTAAAAAACTAATGACAAGTCAATAATACCCCTAAAATGATTATTATTTGAAATAATTTTAAAAACTATTCAGAATTATTTTGGGTATTCATTAGGGATAAATGAATAATAGCATATTATAGACATTCATTAATATTTCTTGAATAAATCTGCAATCACAAATCTCCCAAAAATATAGTAAAAATGAAAATTATGATACTTCTGAGCAGTTTGATTTCACAAATGATGCTGCTCTGATTTTCCTACATCTTTAAATTTTCAGCTTTGGGGCGCCTGGGTGGCGCAGTCGGTTAAGCATCCGACTTCAGCCAGGTCACGATCTCACGGTCCGTGAGTTCGAGCCCCGCGTCGGGCTCTGGGCTGATGGCTCGGAGCCTGGAGCCTGTTTCCGATTCTGTGTCTCCCTCTCTCTCTGCCCCTCCCCCGTTCATGCTCTGTCTCTGTCTGTCCCATAAATAAATAAAAACGTTGAAAAAAATTTTTTAATTTTCAGCTTTGTCAATTTAAAAAAGAGAGAGATGAATAATTTTATTATAGTTACATTTATAGTAAGTTTGGAGTTTTAAGAGAAGCAACTTTTTTTAAATTGTGTAAGATAGCCTCCCATAATCCTGAATAAACTAAAGATTACTTAGCAGTGAGATTGATTCTGCCTTTTCTTTGTTTTACAGATCAAAAGTCTTATTTTTATCATAGCAGCTTTCAAATCCTAAATGTCAAATACAGTAATCAGTTAAATTCACCAGCTACACAGGAATATAGGGATTTGAGTGGAAGAATTGAATCTATGGTAAGTTAATATTTCTCTTTGCTCTTTATCCCATCATCAAACAAATTTGATAATAAATCTGATATTTTGTGATATATCTGTAATTGCTAGATGCTCTATATTGTTTTCTTCCCTGAATACTGAAAGATATGTTTCTTTGTGATTTTTCCAAGTTAATTTGCTAGTATACTGGTTCTTTACATTTTTTAAGTCATAAGTGGAAAGTGTTAGAAGAGTCTTGAATAAATTAATATTTTATATGATTATGACTTCAAAGGCTGGAAGTCTATTGTTTGTGCAACTTGAGCATTTATTACTGCTCTCCTTGAGATTGCCTTTCTAAATCCTTTTCATTTTGCCTTCTTTCCTTTTTCTTATCCAACTAAACACACAGGTAGCAGGTGTTAAAAGATATGTTTGCATGTCCATAATAACATAGGTTAAACAACACCCTACTTTGGCTCAATGATACACATAGAAAATATGCAAAGCAAGCTCGGGCTTTCAGTTGAAGAGGCCTGCCAGGAAACCTCACAAGTGGGCCCTTTGCATTCATTTATGACCATGGACCAGTGTGCGACCTTTCACCCAGAGAGTCAGAGTTGACCAATGTCAAGGTTACTTACTTACCCTTCCTTTTAAAGAGTCCTAAGAATATAAATTAATCCAGTTGCTCTAAAACTTAAACATTAACAAAATCACCTGGCAGGCTTTTCAAAACACAAATTTCTGAGCCGTGATGTGAGAGTCTCTGATTCAATAGGTCTGGGGTAAACTGAAGAATTTCCTTTTCTAAGTTCCCAGGTGATACTGATGCTAATGGTCCAAGGACCACAATTTGGGAACCACTAAGTTAATCTAATGAGGACTCTCATGGCTGGAGGACTGAATCACTGGCTTGTCTAACACATTTTTCCCGAGAGGCAAACCTCACTAGAAGCCAACTTATGGGACAACTGCTTAGTTAGCATGGGATTAGAGCAAAGGAAGTTAGGTATATCATTTAAATGTTTAATGAGATCAGAATAACAGCTGAATCAGTGATTTGGGAGGAGAATCTATGAAGATCCTAAGATTTTCCTTGTTTTGAGAACCTTGAGAGTTTTGCAGAGTACTGGGCAGGCATTTTGTAAAATCCCATAACTGGGCTTTCTAAACTATTTCCTCATGCTTAGGGTGGAATTACAGGTTCAGGGGAGGACAACCATAGAGAAAGAGTATCATTTTCACTCCATCACATGAAGGGGGTTCATTAAATTGTCAACATGACTTATCACTGTCAACTTGATCACCCAGCTGAAGTAGTGTTTGTCAGGTTTCTACACTGTAAAGTTACTTCCTCTCTTTTCCATACCATACTCTTTGGACGAAAGACACTATGTGCAAGCCACACGTAAGGAGTAGAGGAGTGAAGCGTTAAGCATTGAATGTTTGAAGACTATTTAAAATTCTTCAGTCAATTCTCCCATGTATTTATCAACCAGTTGCTTATATCAATATAGTGGTCTCTGCATTTTTAAGATTAATTTTTATTTATTTATTTTTAACTGTACCTATTTTTTAAAATTTTTTAATGTTTATTTATTTTTGAGACAGAGAGAGACAGAGTGCAAGTGGGGGAGGGTCAGAGAGAGAGGGAGACACAAAATCTGAAACAGGCTCCAGGCTCTGAGCTGTCAGCACAGAGCCTGACGCGGGGCTCGAACCCACGAACCGTGAGATCATGGCCTGAGCCGAAGTCGGATGCTTAACAGACTGAGCCACCCAGGCTCCCCGAACTGTACCTGTTTTTTTTATTTTTTGTTTTTTTTAAATATAATTTATTATCAAATTGGTTTCCATACAACACCTAGTGCTCACCCCAACAAGTGCCCTCCTCCACTCCCAATGTTTATAGCAGCACTTTCAACAACAGCCTAAATGTCCATCAACTGACAAATGGATAAACAAGATGTGGTTTATATATACAATAAGATTAATTTTTAGGCTGCACTCCAGAAGTGCTCCAGTTTAAGTTTTCACCAGCAGCACATAAGTATGCACAAGTATGCTTATTTCCCCACAGCATTAACCCTCAACGATGTAAATCATTTTAATTGTTGCTAATTTAGTAGGTGAGAAGTGATATCTCACTATTATTTGGATTTTCATTTCTTTGATTACTAAGATTTAATCTGTTTTCATATAGTAATAGGTCATTTTTATGACTTCATTTGTCAATTGCCTGATCATGACTTTGCCCATGTTCTTACTGGAGCATTTGTCTATTCTATATGGATTCAAAAAAAACAAAAAAACAAAAAAAAATACCACTTATCCTTATTAGCATATTAAAGTTTGCCTGTCATTCACATTGCATATATTTCTCTAATAATGTGATTTGACTCTCAATCCTATTTATGATGTAGGGATTTTTTAATGTTAAACATTTAATTTTTTTATATATTTCATATGTATTTTATATATTTCATATATATTTTATATGTTTATAGAGCTAAATTATCAATCCCTTTTATGATTTCTCATTTTGTGTCATATTAAAAATGGCTTTATTCATTCTAAATGCTCTTTAAAATATTAACCCTAATTTTCTTTTTATAATTTTATTATTTCAGTTTTTAGTACCAAGCTATTGAGAGTACTGTGGTTTTATAATATATTTAAACACCTGGCAGGAAAAGATTTCACTTGAAATTCTTCTGATGTATGATTTCCATAATCTCATTTATTTATCCTTCTGTAAAACCACTTTGAACATTTAAAACATTGTATGAATGATACTCTAATAAGGTGCTAATCTATAGCTTACAAAGCACTTTCACATGTATTATACAGTCATATAAATTGACAAATAATTTTTATAGATGCATAAAATAAAGGTTGTGAGTTTAGGAAACATGTCAAAGACCATTCAACTGGAGTGTAGTAGAACCAGAATTCAAACCAAGGTCTCCTGACTCCAAACCCAAGTATCATACCATTTCCCAATGGTAACATGAGTATCATCATTGTCCTTGTCCCACAGACAACATTGTTTTCCTTCATGAGCAATAGAATAGTCTCAGAAACTTCTATGAGGCAATTCATCTCTCTTTTCTAGCTCTCAGTTTACTCATCAGTGAAATAAAGTCATTGGACCAGATAATTTTCACAGTACATTCTAACTCAAAAAGCCTATGATTTTATGACTTTCATGCAATATATTCATTCATCTGTTTTTCCTATCCTGCCTCTCTGGCCACTCCTCTCTGTCTCTACAGGCTCACCTTCCTTTATACTGTCATTAAATTTTGAAATTCCCCAAGGCTTTGACTTATGCTCTCCTCTTTTCTCACACTGGTTTTTTTCTATCCTTAGATGTTCTCTTTGATGAGTGTTACTTCAACCAACACTTGTACACTAATGACTCATTCTGTCTCCAGCCCAGACTTTTCTTCTGTACTTCAGATCTGTTCACCACACTGCCAGCCTAATGTCTCCACTTGGCTGTTTTTTTATTAATCTTAAATTTATTCTGCCCCAAATCAAACTCATGATTTCCCCAGAGCATCCTAGCCTCCTTCCAATAATCCTGTCCCCATTAACAACATTTATTCAGTTTTCCAAACCCAAACCCTGGAATTCATCTTTGAATTACTGCCCTCTATCATTCCAAATACCCAATCCATTACCAACCTTGCAGGTTTTATCTTCTTTATTTCCCTCAAATCCATTCATTTCTCTTCATACCTACTAACGCCATGTCCATCCAAACCATCACCTCTACTCTGAACTACTAAAACAGCATTAACTGATTTGCATTTCTTCCCTAAAACTAAATATCCATAGGCAGCAAAAGAAATTATTCTCAAATTGCAAATCTGATTATATTATCCTTTTGTTTAAAACACTTCAGCAACTTCCCATTATTTATGATAAAGACCACTAACAAGACATGCATGGTCTGGCCATTCTGGCTCCCTAGCCTCCTTGCTCTCTATGCTACAGCTGCACTGGCCTTCTTTCATTCCTGAAACACACCTGTGTGTTCCCACCTCAGGACTTTGCATGTGCCATTCACTTCACTTGTGAGGCTTTTTCCTTCCTCTTCAACTAGCTAACTTTGATTCTTCCTAACAATCTCAACTCCACCAGCATTTCCTCCAAGAAACCTCTCTAATATTGACTGGATCAAATTCCTCTACTGTATTTCTGTACTTATCAGTTGTAATTTTACTTAAATGTGGATGATAACTTGATTGGTGCTTGTCTGCTGCCATTAAATGTAAGCTCCATAATGGCAAGGACTGTTTATTTTCTCTCACCATTGTACCCAGTGCGTTATAGAAGGGGTTTGCAGCAAAAAAGTTACTGAAAAACTGTTGTTGAGTGAGTGAAAAAAATGAATAAGGCCATCTAGAAATATTGAAAGCACCAGTTTGCAAAATATATATATCAAAACCATGAGCGCATTCTGACTAAATGGGATGGGTCTCTGTCAATAAAACAAAAGATTTCAGTCAGGATTCATACCTGGGATCAACTGAACTGTTGAAACTCCCCTTTGTTATCAGGTGTGATAATGCAATAAATTCTGCAAACAATTGCCACTTTTTCCAAAATATATCTAGTTATAGTCCCATGAACAAACTAGTTCATAGGAAGAGAAAGAAAACAATACCCATTTGAGATTAATTTTATCATATCACTTAAACCATCAGGGCTTCTGGGTAAAATTCATTTCAGTTACATCCATTTAACAAGCATTAATTATTGGGGTGCCTGGGTGGCTCAGTCGGCTAAGCGTCTGTCTCTTGATTTCAGCTCAGGTCATGATTTCATAGTTCATGAGATTGAGCCCAAAGATGGACCCTATGCTAACAGCACAGAGCCTGCTTGGGATTCTCTCTCCCTCTCTTTGCCCTTCCCCTGCTTATGCACAGGCCCTCTCTCTTAAAATAAATAAGTAAGCTTAAAAAAAAAAAAGCATTGATCATTACTTAATGCCAAAAAAAACCCCAATTTGATAACATACTTGACAATGAAATGTTCTTTGAATGAATAAATAAAAGATGCATTCTATCTGTTGGTTCCTGTGCCAAGTCTTAGGGATACAAAATAAAGACATCATTGTAGTCAGAGGCTCACAGTGGTCTCCAAAATGGGGTTGTGCATTCCAGGGAGGGATTCACAGTAATTAATCGTGAATACTCAAATACTTGGATATCACTCTATATGTTTTCTTCTCATAAAGAGTATTTTTTAGAAGGAAGTGTTTTGTTACTATTTAATAAATGGATTGGCATTGGTACCTTGTTTGGTTTTATGTCAGCTGGTCCCACACAATGTTTGTAAAGGTATCTTGAGGGAAGAGGGGAAGGGCAGTAACACTTTTACTTGCTCTGAGTAGATTTCAACAATGTGCAGTTTCAACTGGATTTAAAGATTTTATTATCTAGTTCTAAAACTAAACAAAGTCTCCCCAAAATCACTAAAGGAACTGAGAAGAATCCTGCAAAACACAAATTTTAAAACCACAATTCGGAGATAACTCTAATATGCCAAGGACAGTAATGACCAAGTAAAGGAAGAGTAAGGTAATAACAGAACTGACACTTCACTGCTACTGACTAAAGGAAATTTACCAAGTGAAGCAAAAAACAGTATCTTTCTTAGAAGATATTTAATACACACAAACACACATACATACCCTGTCTCTTCAAAGTGTAAGAAATTAGGTGCTTTTTAAATAAAGTTCATACCATGGAGAGAAGACTTTGAAAATATGTTTAGCAACGGGTCCATCATGAGGTGTTTGGATTTTCTTGTGTTTTACTGAAAATGTTGCATCTTACCTATAAAAGTGCTTAGACATTCACACATAAAAACTGGGGGGAAAAGATTAACTATCATGTTTGGTTGATTTTGAACATACTTCTTTTAATGTTTTTTAAATGTTTATTTATTTTTGAGAGAGAGAGAGCACAAGCACGAAAGGGGCAGAGAGAGGGGGATAGAGTATCTGAAGTGGGTCTGCATTGTCAGCACAGAACCCAAGGTGGGGCTCAAACCCACAAACCTTGAGATCATGACCTGAGCTGAAATCATACGCCTAACCGACTGAGTCACCCAGGTGCCCCTAAACACACTTCTTTAAAAAAAACATATAAAATGAAACACATTCCATTTGGTTTGCAAGGATAACCAATTGAAATCAGGGAAGATGGAAAGTCACATGTTAAATTTCAACAAAACCTTTGCACAATGGTTGGGAGGGACTGACAACTTTGTGTCATGATTTATTAAATTCTGCCAATGAGGCACTTTATACATTTAGAGCCACATAATGGTGTGGAAATGTCTTCAGCATTCCAAACCAAGTATTTAAATTAAACTTAGAATCATAACTTTGAATCATTTTATCACAAAGTATTTCAAAAATTATAAATTCTATCCACATTACCAATGAAAATATTATTACTAAATATAAAGGGGATAAAATGACTAAATGTTTGCTCTGTTAATTTGGTCTTTTTAATTTCTAATTTCGTCAATGTTTTATAGTATATATTATTAGCAGTACAGTGTTACTGCATATATATAATTTATAAATAAATATACATGTTTGTGCTACTCATGCATAAAATATTTTATCCATAGGAATGCATAATCAAAAATTTTTGGAGACCACTATAATAATAGATCATATTGCCACATATTTTATCTTTTTCTTGAAAACTGAACTTTCCATATCTGGTTAAACAGAAAAGAAACTGATAACTGGAGGGTGGTTGAAATCACAAAAACAACATTATTTCCATTATTCAGCTCATGAATAATATAAACAAAACCATACCTATCAAGTAAGAAGACACTAAAAATAAGGTGATTTATCTTCATGGGTAGCTAATAAGATCTTTCTTCTCTAATGATGGAAATGTGTGATAACTGCAAACATTATGTAATTGGCTTACATTTTAATGGCTGGTCTATTAACAAATTTAATGATTCACTTTGTTAGAATTTAAATAATCCACATCTTACTTCAGTTCTTATCAACTATGAACATTACTGAGGTATGAGAATTCTAGACTATTCTAGAATACAAAGATAATACTGATACCCTCAATCAGTGAAGAAATATAAAATAGTACTCTGTTTTTCATTGTTTACTTGATTTTTGTCCAACACCCTTGGGAAGAGCCACCAAATCACACTAAGTACAACATCTGATGTTTAGATGCCTTCTAGTGAAGATGCATCCTATCCATTATCATGTTTGTATCATAAGTGAAGAAATAGGCACTGCATCAAAAGGCTGTTTCCCCAGACTAAATCAATCCTATGTGTTGAGATGAAATTGAACTAAAATTTCATTGAAATTTGAACTGAACTGAACTGAACTGAAAACTCCAGTCCCTATTCCTCATTAACTTAAGTCCTGTGTTGCAAGGTTGGGAGGAAGGAGAACAATTGGAAGCATAAAAACATTTTCCCCTTTCTTTCTATAGATTACTAAAACATTCCAAGAATCAAATTTAAGAAATCAATTCATCAGAGCTCATGTTGTCAAACTGAGGTAAGTGGAACTATATAAAAATATATATAAGCTTAGGGGCACCTGGGTGGCTCAGTTGGTTAAGTGTCAGACTTCAGCTCAGGTCATGATCTCATGGTTCGTGGGTTCGAGCCCCATGTCAGGCTCTGTGCTGACAGCTCAGAGCCTGGAGCCTGCTTCGGATTCTGTGTCTCCCTCTCTCTGCCCCTCCCCAGTGTATGCACGCGCTCTCTCTCTCTCTTAAAAATAAACATTAAAGCGTTAATGTTTATTAAATAGTAATATTACTAGTAATATATTAAGCTTATATTAAACAATATGGCCCATTTGACTTTTGTTCACAGCATAGATAATGAGACATTCACACAATTTGTTGCAATATTATGAAAGTAGTATTATGGGCAGCTTAAAAAACAATGCAAATAAATAAAAACAAAACATGCCACATTTTGATCTATTACTAATGTAAGTAAGCATATCACTTGAATACATGGTAGAAAAAAAAAAGGTTAAAGAGAGTTGGGTGAGGGTACAGTAACAAGGCGATCCTACTGTATAAATCCAGTGGATACCATTCACAATACAGTCTATGTAAACAGTGCCCCCTTGGAGTTGTGCAATTCTGTGGTCCTGGGCATATTCAGCCAAGATCAGAACACTATGACCAACATCAAGCTTTTTGGTTTGTATCTGCCTGGAATGCTATAACACAAAGGACCTTGTGGTCAAATCCAAGCATGTGTGGCATGAATTAACAATAAGGGGAGTAGCAGCACGCATTCTAGTTATTTGACATTCCTACCTTAGTTGAATATATACTTATCTGTGTGATGTGATGAGACAGGCCCTCCCAGCTAAAATACTGACCCTTACTGACCTTACCACAAATGCCTCAAATGCCCACATTACCCAATCCTTCAAATAATATGCAAAAGTCCTTTGAAAGGGAGGTGTTTCCCAAATACCACCACCACAAGAAAATTAATAGTTCTTATTTGCTATAGAAATACTTAGTAAGTCCAGAGCATGAACATCTGGTCAGATACGTTTTGTTGAGAAATGAGAGGGGAAGGAAGAATCCATGGGAAGAGTACTACCAAATCAATTTTAGTCAGTTCAGCACACTTTCGCCTTAGCACTGTCTTGTGAAAATCTCTGTACTAGCCACTGGCTTTCAAAACTTGTAGGATTGAATGAGTCATCTGTAGTATTTTACTTCCCACTTACTGCTCAATCCCCTGCAATCTTACTTCTGATGCCACCACAAAATGCTAATCGCCTTTGCCAAATTCAACAAGGACATTCAAATCACAAGCTCCAAGCAAATTATATCATCTTCTGTTTGGACCTCTCAGTGATATTTGGTACTGTTGTATTTTTAATCCTTCTTAAAATAGTACCATCCTGTAGTTTCTATGACCCTACACACCCTATTTTCCTCTTACCTCTCCATTCACTCCTCAATTTTCTTCACTAGCTCTATTCCTTCTCTGCACGTCCTTCAAATGTTGGACATTAGGCTGTGCTATAAGCCTCTCATCTTCTCAGTTCACATTCTTGACTTTCAGTGGCTTAATTTACCCCTATATGTTCATCATTCTCAAAGTTGCATCTCTGGGCCAGTCCTCTCTTCTAATCTCCAGTCATGAATGTACACAGCCATCTCCTTAATGTCATCACACAGGTGTCTCACAGACAACTCAACTTACTAAATCCAGACCTGAACCTATCATCTCTCTCCCACCAAATGTTACCTCAAATTAATTGAGGTGTCACTTTCAACCTAGTTGCTCAAGAAATATGTAAGTCATCTTTAATTCCTCCTCTCCCTCAACCCATACATCCAATCATCTAATCTTTCAGTTCTATTTTCTAAATATCCCTAAGATCCGTAACTTTTCTTCAAACAGTGCCCTCAACCATCTCTCTCCTGGACTATGAACAGCCTCCTAATGAGTCTCCTTTCCTCCAGTCTTGCTCCACTCCACATTCTACAAAGCAGTCAGAAAGACTTTTTGAAACAAAATTCTAAACATATTACTCCCCTGGTTAAAATCCTTCCATCCTTCCATTGGCCTCTCCTGGGCTTATCTTTCACTATCATCCAACTAGACTTCCTTCAGTTCTTCACTGGCCCTAACCTCAAGACCTTCATAGAAGCTATTCTCTCTGCTGGAAATGTGCACACACTTTTCCCCCTTTCCCTTCAGTTTTAAACACAGTGTGTAAATAGAAAGCTTGAGGTACGGTAAGTCAAAAAAAATCAGGAAAGGATTACCCTTAAAAAGATAGTTTGTTACAGTTCACAAGAGGAGGGTACATGCCTCTTTGGTAGAGTTGTTATAAAGATCAAATAAATTAGTGTAAAACACATGGTCCTGTTTGGGTATCTTATTCAAAGTTTGTCATTCACTAAAGATACCTCTTCTTTGAATTGGTTCTTCTACTTTTGTTAGTCTTTTCTTGTTGACTTGTAGGAATTCTGTATTTATAGTAGGTAGCAATCATTTGTCACTTTCTGTGTTGCAAATATATTCTTCCTGTCCATAGCATATCTTCAAACCTTATGGCATCTTTTATTGTGAAAAGTCAGTTGCAAATAGTCTTATTTAAGAAATTCTTTCTACTCATGTATGTAAAGACATTCATATTTTCTCGTAAGTTGTAAACATTTTTGCTCATATTTAGACACTTTGTATATGATATGAGAAATAGATTTAAATCTTTCCATATGAGTCATTTTCCTTCCATTTGTGATACCACTTCTGCAATACATTGTTTACATATGTCAAAGAATCAATTTCTGGTCATTAATTCTGTTCCTTCCTATTAAGCTTAATACTTGTCATTCAAATAAAATCTACCACTATAGATTTATCTATTTCTCCTTATGCAATATATTTTGAGGACATAGTGTCAAGTACCTATATGTTTGGAATTGGTATATCTTCCTCAGGAATTAGTTCTATCAAGATATTAATCTTTTTTATCCCTAATTAATTTTTTTAATCTTAAGATATCTTTTTTTAATGTGTATTTATTTTTGATGAGAGAGAAAAAGTGTGCAAGGTGGGGAGGGGCAGAGAGAGTGAGAGAGACAGAGGATCCAAAGCAGATTCGGTACTGACAGCAGCGAGTCCGATATAGGGCTCAAACTTTAGGGCTCACAAAGCATGAGATCATGACCTGAGCTGAAGTCGATCACTCAACCAACTGAGCCACCCAAGCACCTCAGTCTTAAAATCTCTTGTGCCTGATACCATTATAGCTACATTGATGTTCTTGTGGCCATCATTTTTCAATATATTTATCCTTTTATTTTTATTATTTACATATTCTTATAGGTTAGACATTTCTCCTAAAACAGAAAGTTAGATAATATTTTCTAATGCATTCTAATCATCTTTGCCTTATTTTAGTGATTATCCTTAAAATTTAAATAAGGAGAGTTGGCTTAATCCATTACCCTTCTACTTGGAATTCTTATTCATGTTATTATGAATGATGTTTTAGCGCCACCTTATTTATAATGACACCAAATCAGTCATTGTAATGATAGATTACCAGTTTGTCACTTTCTTTGTTCCCTATTTCTTACTGTACCTCAACTCTCCTACGTTCAATCTCTTTCTTACTGAAGTACTTCATTTATAAATTTTCACAAGAGTCAGGGCATCTGGGTGGCTCAGTTGGTTAAGCGTCCAACTCTTAATTTCGGCTCATGTCATGATCTCACAGTCATGAGATCGAGTCCTGCTTTGGGTTCCATGCCAAGCATGGAGTCTGCTTAAAATTCTCTCTCTCACTCTGCCCCTCTCCCCTGTTCATGCTCTCTTTCTAAAATAAAATAAATAAATTTTCACAAGAGTAAATGATCTGTAAAGTATCTTTTTAATTTTTCTTTGGTCTACAAAAAGTCCTATTTTATCTTCATTCTTGAATAAGACTTTAGTATGGATATAAAATTCCAAATTAATAGCTATTGTGTCTCAGTGCTATTGTACTCTCAGTGTATATATACAATTATATATCACCTTTTTCATTGCTATTAAAGAAACTGTCCTTCAGTCAAAATGTTCTTTGGTAGCTAATCTCTTCTCCATTGTCTGAATATCTTCCATTTGTCTGTGGAGTTCACAGTTTTTTAATGATGTATTTGTATGTGTGGGGGGTTTTTTATTTAGTATGCCTCAGATTCATTGTGATCTAAGCCTTCATGCCTTCATCAATTCTGGATAATTCTCATCATCTCTTGTAATATTGCTGCTCCTTTGTTTTTGTTATTCTTTAGTTTTGCATTAGGTAAACACTGAGCCTTCTCTAGTCTCTTAGCCTCTATTTGATGTTTCATCTCTTTATCTGTTACGTTTTGTGTGATGTCTTTATGTTCATCTTTCAGTTCACTAATTTCTCTTCAGCTTTGTCATATTCTATGTAACCCACCCATTGAGTTTTTACTTTCAGGGAAACGTTATGATTATGTATTCCTGTCTGCAAGCTCTGTTTGTTTCTTTTGTGAACCTGTCTGGTCTGTTTTGATAAAGTCCTATACTTTTCTCATATTTATAATTCCCCTTTTATGTCATTAGTCATTTCAAGTATAGTTATCTGTTAATTTTATTATGTGACGCTTTTGAGGATGCTCTCCTTTTTCTGCTGAATCTAGCTCATGATATGTTGTTTGCCATTGGGATTGTATGCTGATATTTAATCCCACTTCATAAGTAAGACACTATGCAGCCTGGATTTAACATTCAATATTACAGAGCATTTGTTACTCTAGGAGGATCAGCAGCATATGGACCTTTTTTGTTTGTCGGTTTGTTAATTTCTTAACGTTTCTGGAACCATGAAGGTGGTGGTACTATAAATCCAAAACTTTCAGGTAGCTAGGCTCTTGATCATAAATTATCAGTAGAATCTTCTTTTTTCTGTCTAGACCTGGAACCCTAAGACCCATAGACCTACAGACCTTTTTTCTTTTTTTTTTTTTTTAAATGACATGATGAGCGCGTTTTTTTCTTTCCAATCCATGCTTTCATTGAGGGTTTAGTTCTTTGAGAATCCTGGTCTTATTTAGAAACCTAATGTTCATCTCCCTATTTAGCACTAGCCCAAAGAGTCCTCTCCAGCAACTATGTAAATGCTAAAAGTCAAGCCTGTTGGATACTCTAGTGCTTATCACATAATATTCATTTTCCTTATTTTTGGCTTTCCAAGATTTCCCTTCCTTTAACGTGACTTTAGCTTTGCATTCCAAATGAAATGTATTGTATTTTATCAAACACTTCTGGTTATTTTATATGGAGAAGGTTTTTTTTTAATTATTTGGGCTTTTGAGATGTTAAAAATGGATATAAATTATTTCTTCAGTGTCTACTCCTCCATCTAAACTGCAAAATCCATGAGAATAGCAACTGTGAATCTTGGTCACAGCTAATTTCTGAAACCAAGAACAGTGCCTAGTGCAAGAAGGTACCTATTTAATATTGCTAAGTAAATATTAAATTAATATCTGGAATAAATATTACGGCAGAAATGACTATTGAGAGGAGAGGAGGAGGCCTAGAATGAATATGAGAGACAAATTTGTCTAAAGCACCTTTTCAGGAGAGAAGATGGCCAATGTTAGGTGAAGGAAATGATTTACATGGTAATTTACACAGAAAGAAGTGGAAATTATATCAATGTTTGATAATTATAGCCTTCAGTCAAATTATTAAGGCTCACTGTGAGAACTATCTGCGGTTAGCTGATAACAGAGGTAAAATTTTAACATATGACTACAAAAGTTAAATTTTGCTTTTGTAGCCACATTAATGGGTTTAGGTAATAGAAAATTAACCTTACCAAAGTCAAACCATAAATGGCAGAGCTAGTATTATTCAAATTCTGGCATTCTGACTTCAAAGCAAGCTATACCAAATAGTGGATACAACATACTATGCATCAAAATCAAATATTTGTGGAACAGCATTGTGTGATAGATCATTAAGTATGCAAACACTGTTATGTGACCAGTTAAATTCTAAAGTTGAATTGCCCAAATGAATCTTTTTAATGTTTAATCAATAAGAGTATATAAACAGAACAACTGAAAATTATAATTATCTATTTTTTAATATATTTATGGTTTTCAGGCAAGAGGGTAATGGTGTGATAGCAGATGTTGTCATGAAATTTAAATTCACTAGAAACAACAATGGAGCATCAATGAAAAGGAGAATTGAGTCTGTTTTACACCACATGCTGAATAACTCTGGAAACTTGGAAATAAACCCTTCAACTGAGATAACATGCAAGTACCATTTTTATATACCATTTTATCCCAATATATCAACTAAACCAGTTTTAATTCATATTTTAATTTAATGAGACTGACTTTTCTTTCTTTGGAATTAAACTTTATGAAAACACTATATTATAAAGCTAGACATAATACATAGTTCTCTAATATAAAACATTCTAAAATTTAAAGAATCATTTAGCATTCATATAATAAATTTTATTTGCTAAACATTCTTTATTACTTTTCCCTCTCAACACTCCTTATCTCTCAACAGGAGAGACATTACTGTCAGATCTTCAATCTGTAGGTGTGCTATAGGAATGGTAAATAGCTGCTCAAGGTCAGAGAACAATTGAATTAACACTCCACCTCACCCAGAACCCAGCATTCAATCGGGAGGTGTGTGATTAATACTCCTAGAATAAAGAAGAAAATTAGAAGATTTAGCAACATCCCTAACTCCTCTCTGAAAATATCTGTACCTCTTCTTGTCTTGAATCTATTTTCATTTTTTCCCATCCCAATTGCTACCACTCTGGTCCAAGCCCACATCATTTCTATCTTGAACTATTTGCACTAGCCTCCATACTACCCGTTTTATATAGTGTTGGCCCCTTCCAAACTATTGTCCACATACTGATCAAGTTATGTTTTATATTTTAAAACATAATCTCATCATTATTTAAAAGCTTCCCATGACTTCCCACAGAAACACAAAACAAGCAAACAAAAAAAAGACCTGTAACTGGGATACCCAGGCTTACCCAGGACAGTCCCAGTTCATATCAATTGTCCAAGAACCATTATTAATATTAATCCCTAAGTATTTTGGTTTGGACAATAAATGATATGACCATCTCATTTAAAGCCCTGCATGATCTGGTTCAAACTTACCCCTTCAGCTACTTATTATACCACTCTTCCTTATTCACCATAATCTGGCCACATTTTCATTTCCTCCACCTGCCAAACTCTTCTCCTCCTGACTCAGGGCCTTTGTATACATTGTTTCAGTTTCTTATAATACTCTCTAGTTCATCCCTTTACATCCATCAGGTCTCATCTGGGTCACTGGTTTCTAATGTAAGCCTTTTCTAACTTCTATTACTCAATTATTTACCTGTATCATGGACTCCACTTTCCTTCATAACATTTATCACAATCAAAACTACAAAATTATTTGTGTGATATTTCTGTTGATTGTCTTCATCCTACTCTGTAAGTTTCCTAAAGGCAAGAACAAGTCTTTCTTGTTCATCCCAGTGTGCTTCTACTACCATCTACTACATAATAGATGCTCCATTAATATTTCTTGCGTGACTGAAAAAAAAGACTTGATATGTACATAGAATTTAAGGACACTCCTCCAACTTTGTCATGCACTATTAATAAACCTGATTCCCTTAATATAAGCTCAGGATTAAAGGATTTTGGTAGCCCCCACACTGGACTGGTATTCAATTAGTATATGTCTGTTATAGCTGTACTAAGTGTTACAATATTGAAATGCTTTCCTATCTATCGGTCAACCACCACTGTACCACGCCCACAAAGATGTCTCCCCAGCCTCTTCAAATCCTCCCATCCCTACCCCCAGACTCTCAGTTCATCTCCCTGCAATTGAAGAGTTAATGCTTAGGGACTTCCAAGACACTGCTCTAGCTCCACGGTTTATTACATCCTTCTGACTGGCTGGCTGATGCTCATCCATTACAATTTGTTTAATCCCCACAACCATAGACTCTACTTTTATTGTTCCCACTCAGAAACGATGGACAATTGCCCAGAGTCCTGCAATCTTCATGTAGGGGAGGCAGGATTTGAACTCAAGTCTCTCTCATTCAAAGAATAAAAAGGAGTGGTCAGTTTTTTTTTTTTTATTCCTGGCATCCAAAAGGATATTTGGACTCCCCTGACACAAAGCAGATATGATACCCAAACCCTGTGAAAGTTCTGGCAGGAAATAAGTTTACAAAAATTGATTTTAGAAATCATGAAAACTTGTCTGAGAAGGTTAGATATCTTTTATAGGAAAAAAGAAACTGGTTTCTCATTAGAAGCTTTCAAGCAAGGAAGGATATGATCGGACATAGATTTTTAGGGGGAAAAAAAAACAGCCTGGTAAAGTGAAGGCAGACACATTGAAAAGTGCAAAGGTGGAGGCAGCGAACGCAGACTGAAGGTTGTTATAATAGCACAGATGTTAGGGGCGCCTGGGTGGCTCAGTTGGTTAAGCGTCTGACTTCAGCTCAGGTCAGGATCTCGCGGTCCGTGAGTTCGAGCCCCGCATCGGGCTCTGGGCTGATGGCTCAGAGCCTGGAGCCTGCTTCCGATTCTGCGTCTCCCTCTCTCTCTGCCCCTCCCCCATTCATGCTCTGTCTCTGTCTCATAAATAAACATTAAAAAAAGAATAGTACAGATGTTAAATGATGAAAGCGTGAACTAAAGTAGTAGCCAAAGGGATGGGGAGGATAGGCCTGATTCAAAGGATAGTTAGAGGCTAGAAGATACAAAATCTGAAAGCAAATAAAATGTGAAAATGACAGGAAGGGAGGGAACTGTGAAAATGACAGGAAGGGAAGGAACTGGAGACTGTTTCAGAATTCTAGCCAGTGGTAGAAGTGGAATCATTTCCTAAAGGAGGAAATATAACAAAAGTAGCAAATCTGGGGTAAAATTTGGTGACCTTGAGTTTGAGAGGGCTGTAGCATGTGCAGACCTTAAACTAGAATAGACAGATCTTCACTATCTACTATCAACATAGTTTTCTGTCTGCGCCCTCCTCCCATTTTCCCACGTCACACTTTCACTCCTAGCTCTACTGACTTCATTGTTCCACAAACATCATACATCTCCATGCACTTGTGCCCACTACACCTTCCACCTGGAAAACACTTTCACTGCTTGTCTACCTAGAAAATTCCTTTCATGTCTTCAGAATACAGCTCATATGTTTTTCTCACCATGATAACTTGGTGAATATCTCAAGTCGCATGACCACCCTCTCCTTTCTCCTCTCTACTTCATACTTAAATTTATTTGAATGATTTTTTTAAAATAATTTCTAAACTGTAAGTCATGTGAGGGCAGACCTCCTGTATTTTTCTCACTGTTACACCTCAGTACTAAGAATTGTATCAGTTGAGTAATACAGATGTATCAATATATACCTACATATATATTCAGGTAAATGAAAACTTAACTTCTCTTATACGACTTATCACATCATATCTCAACAACTTGCTTATGTTTCTCTTTTCCCAACTAAACTGAGTGAATTGAAAGCAGGAATATCTTTTAAATATCTTTTAAGTATCTCTTAGTGTTTGATGAGAAAAAAGCACAAACTTAAGTATAGATAACAATAAATTGGGGGAAGACTGTAAACACACATTTCTAGGACTTATGACTCAGAGATTCTTTCAGCAGATCTGAGATGAAGCCTAGAAATCTGTATGTATCTTATCAGGCCCTAAGTGATTCTGATGGTGGTTGTCTGAAGACTACATTTAAGAAATTAAGACTACATGTAATAATATACAGTACTTATTGTATTCATCTTACTCTCACTTTTTTTTTTTAACACCAGCAATTACTGACCAGGATACAGTGGATATGTTCACTCAAGGTAAGTTTCTAAATTACCTTATAAAAATGGTTTCCAAAATATAAATAGTAAACATTCAAGTATTTGCACTCTTTGTCAAGGTAGTTTCTTTTTTTTTTTTTTTTTTAAATTGGGATTTTTTTTTTTTTTTAAGATTTATTTATTTTTGAGACAGAGAGAGAGACAGAGCATGAACGGGGGAGGGTCAGAGAGAGGTAGACACAGAATCTGAAACAGGCTCCAGGCTCTGAGCTGTCAGCACAGAGCCCGACGCGGGGCTAGAACCCACGGACCGTGAGATCATGACCTGAGCCGAAGTCGGCTGCCCAACCGACTGAGCCACCCAGGCGCCCCGTGTCAAGGTAGTTTCTATTGAGGTGTTATTTTTATTCTTACTTCACTCCTGTGGTCTGAGATAAGACATTGCTGATTCCAACGGCCAGTGATGTGTAGGTTTTCCCCTCCTTTTAGAGGAAGGTGCTGGCAGCAATGGCATTCTGTGTCAAGTCTGGCCTCAGGAAAAGTTTTTTTGCAGCTTTGGGAAGCTTTTCCTGCCCCAGTTCTATGGTGGCACTCCCTTAGACTTATAAACTATGTTTGGTGACACCATTTATATGGCTTCTCCTAATCACCAGAATAGCTTGCTTTGTTGTGGATTTAGGTTAATCGAAAAGTATAGTAAAAAAAAAAAAACATTATAAAAAGTGATGTTAGTTTTAGGTCTCAAATCTTAAGGAAAAGTCACTACTTTCCAATGTCATTCTGTATACTCTCAGGCTAGGATAGCAGAAATATAATCCCTAGAAAACAGCTGTTTACTTCTCTGGCTGATGAAATATAGTTAGAAATTAGTTCAATATACCTTAATAGCTGGCCTATCTCAGATACTTAAGTGATGTTACAAGGTAATGGTACCTTTTTCAACTTCATTTTATATTTAATTCATGCTTATTTTTAATGAAAATGTGCTTAAGTAATTTACTAGGGAATTTGGTTGAAGGATGAAGCAGAGGAACTTATGTTCTATGTATATTCTTTTTTTTTTAAGTGTATTTATTTACTTTGTGAGAGAGGGGGGCAGGGGAGAGAGACAATTCCAAGCAGGCTCCACACCGTCAGGGCCCAGCTGGACACAGGGCTCAGTCTCAGAACCATGAGAGCATGACCTCAGCAGAAATCTAGAATCAGACCCTTAACTGACTGAGCCAACCAGGTGCCCCATTCTTTGTATATTCTTAATGAAAGTCTGGAGGTCTGTAAGAAAAAAAAAATGCCTTTGGATGGATGTCCTATTGAAGTAGTGTCACTACTTTAGAGCAATAGAAGTTGTTGCTGATGATTTACTTCTTATTTCTTAGTAATAGACTAAACAAAAGGAAATAAATCATGGGAATGAGGATGAAGAGGGCTTGAATGATCATTTCAGCTTTGGCCATTGGAGTGTTCATGGGCTTTCTCCTTTAAGGCACTTAAATAAACCTTATCTAGATGCTTAGAAACCCTCAGTTACCCTCAAGAATATTCTGTGAAATATGCCCTTGAAAAATGGCACATTTGGTAATATAGAGTCAGTTACAGAGGTAGACTGGAACTTCCACGATGAGCTGGATTACCACTATGGAGATTTCTTGATGAAAGCAGTTTTCCTCCAACTTCAATGTGGACATGAATCACTCATAAGAATGTAGCTTCTAATAAGTTCTGAGGATCTGACATGCAGCATGGTGACTACGGTTAATAATACGGTATTGTACGCTTGGAAGTTGCTAAGTAGATCTCAAGCACTCTCACCACACACACAAGAAGAGTTAACTATGTAATGTGATGGAGGTGTTGGTTATCTTGATCTTGGTAATCAACAATATATATGGATATCAACTCATCACACTGTACACTTTAAATATATACAATTATATATGTCAATTACTCCACAATAAATTTGGGGAGAGGGGGAATGCAGCTTCTGATTTTTTTTCCTGGTGTGGGTCTTAGAGTCAAGTTTTTTCAGCTTTGAGGTATAATTGACAAAATTGTAAGATATTTAAAGTATACAACATTATGATTTGTTATACATATGCATTATGAAAAGATTCTCCCATCTAGTTAACATATTCATCACCTCACATATTTACTCCCACCCTTTTTTTGGTGAGAACGTTTAAGTTCTACACTCCTAGCAAATTTCAATTATACAATAATGTTATCAACTATAATCATTATGTTTTGCACTAGATCCTCAGCAGAACTTATTCATCTTACAGCTGAAAGTTTGTCCCTTTTTATCAAATTCTCCACATTCCCCCACCCTCCAAGCCCCTGGAAACTACTTTCTATTCTTTCTTTCTAGGAGTTTGACTTTTTTTGTTTTTTTTTTAAGATTCCACATATAAATGGTATCAGGCTGTTTTTGTCTGGATTTGTTTTTGTCTGGATTATTTTACTTAGCATGATACCCTCCAGGTTCATCCATGTTCTTGCAAACAACAGGATTTCCTTCCTTTTCAAGGCTGAATAATATCTCTGTATACATGTATGTATATACAAATATATATGTATACATCCCTTTGTGTATGTGTATACACACACACACACACACACATTCTCTTGACCTATTCATTCATTGATAGACCCATAGGTTATTCTACACAGTGCCAACATGTCAACATTTTTAATAAACTTCCAGGGTATACCCATACTGCAGGTCCACAGATCATACTTTGGAGTAGCAAAGCTATATGGAAATTTCCTAGTGAACTTGTGGCCTGAGTTGGTATATCCAGCACTAACCTATCTTAACCCCTTTTGATGAGGAATTTCAGAGAACTCTAAAGTTGCTCTAGAATTTGAAGTCTCTATGTCAATTAAGTTCAGAAATATTCTCTAAAATGCAGTCTATAGGCAATAGTAGTCACAAAGGTACTCTAAAAAACAACACATTAATCTTGCTTTTGGAAAGGCTAGCCTGTTCTAAGGACAAATACACAAAAGACAGCAAAGCTGTAAAAGATGGAGAGACTCTAACAGCATCTCCCAAATGTAAATGAATCATAATCTTCCCAGCACATTAATGCTTTTTTCTTATTAGGATGTGGGGCCCGTACAGACCTAATAACTCTGTCTGCAGAGAGGATCCTAGGAGGCACTAAGGCTGAGGAAGGAGACTGGCCATGGCAAGTCAGTCTACAGACGAATAATGTTCACCACTGCGGAGGCATCCTGATCAGTAGTATGTGGATCTTGACAGCAGCTCACTGCTTCAGAAGGTAAGGCTATAGCTTATCTACCCACCTGGGAACAACTAGGAGAGACAGATACAGGACTCCACCTTGGACTGAACATGATTGGATTATGCTAGAAATAATTGCATGTGGAAAAAAATTAATGAGCCTTTTCTTCCTATTCATGATAGCAAAAACATTTTTTTTCCTCCTTCAGCTGGCTAATTTAATACTATTTTTCTCTTTCAGGTTTAATTTAAATCCTAGCTATGAAAACTTGAGAAATTTACTGAACCTTTATAAGCCTTTTTTTTTTCCTAAATTAGGAAGATACTATTATCTGTGTCTTAGCCTTATTGATAGGATTAGATACACTAATGCAAACGTGTTAAGTGTTAGCAAAATTAATTGCTGTAGGAAATTTGCACATTACATCATATAAGCTGATCAGCTGGCTCATGGCTGATCTGAGACTGCCTTATGCCATTAACTAATTCTTTCAAAACAATTATTGAGTATCTACTATGAGCACAGTATTATCACAGAAGGTAATTAAACACTGCCTATACTTTAAGTGAGCCTACATTCTAATGTTGGAGATAGACATACACAAAAATAATGATCAATAACAGTGAGTAGCATAAATAAAATGAATTTAAACAACTTCTAGAAAATTCTTCACTGATGTGACTAAAGGATAGTGCTAACATGAGGGTAATAAACTGCCAGTGGATAGTAGGATGCATAAACTTACTCATGATAGAAATTTAGACCTAGATGACTCAAATCTGTGAGGTTCAGACACACCTTATTATTGGAGCATCCTTAGACCCTAACAGTTGCTGGGAATTAATCTCAAAACATTCACTAAGTGAAGACATCTAAACTCAAACGTGCCTCTGACCATATCTACTCTTTTCTCAGACTCACTCAATATCCATAGTCTAAAATCCAACTTACTACACACCCATAGCCCTCCTATTGAAACAATCCAAATTTCTTTCTCAAAGCATGAACCTTGAGCTCCAGTCAGACTGCATTATTCTCTTCCCCTGGATTCTGCCTACTTTTTCAGGTTTAAGAGCATTGTGCGCTAGTCTTGTTAAACTTTACTCCCTCTTAATTTAATCGTTTTGTAACAGGCACTATATTATACAGCAATACCCTCAAATCTGCAAAGGACTTCTTAGAAATAGTGAAGATTTTTCAGAATTCCAATACGAAGAAATGGAGGAAGGGATATTAACATTTTAGGGAGAAGAAGAAGATTGAGAAAATGCTCTTAAACCTGAAAAATAGTAAGAGAATAATGCAATCTGGCTGGAGCTAAAGGTTCAATCTTTATTTCCACTTGAAAGGCCAAAGAAGAACTATGGAACGAATTGATTTTAATCGCTTCTGAGTGTGGGAACCAGAAATGCAAATGCTTGGATTTAGTATAACAAAGGATGTAATACATAAACAGTCTGTATTCTAAGCCCTATGCAGACCCAACTACCAAAAGCTAAGTAAAGGATATCACTATAATGAAAGTCACCATTATAAATATCATCAACGTTTACCAAAGTAATTCATGATTTTAACTTTTTTATTTATTTGGAGAGACAAAGAGTGAGCAGGGAAGGGGCAGAGAGACGGGGAGATAAAGAATCCCAAGCAGGCTCTGCGCTGTCAAAACAATTCCCACAGACAGTGAGATCACGACCTTAGCTGAGATCAAGAGCCAGACACTTAACTGAGACACCGAGGCACCCCATAATTCATGATTTTAAATGCTTGGAACATCTTTGAATTATGCCTCCCCAATCCTTCTATTCACTACTAAATTGATCCAGGAAAGCTAACAAACTATGTGAACCTTATATTGGCACACTTCCAGTAGGCCTGATTGTCACTGGGAACCCATCAACGAGGATTTTGGGGGACACAGCCAGCCTTACATCAAGATATATAGATGTGATAAGGCCCTCCAAGAGTCCATGAGAAGATTTTTGAGTTATCACTTCCCCTATGAAGTCTTCCCTGATGCTTTCTTCCTCCCCCATGGTACTCTCACAGAAATCTGCTCACTTATCTTTAGCAGTAGTCCCTGTGATTTATGATACTTAATTGTCTCATGTGGAGCTGCTCATGAACAGAGACCATAGTTATTTATATATTTTTAAGATTTTAAATTCCAGAAAGTTAGCATACAGTGTAATACTAGTTTCAGGTGTACAATATAGTGATTCAACACTTTCATACAACACCTGGTGCTTTTTAATCCTCATCATCTGTTTAACCCATCCCCCCACCCACTTCCTCTCTGGTAACTATCAGTTTGTTCTCTATAGTTAAGCCTCTGTTTCTTAGATGGTTTGTTTTTCTCTCCTTTTTCCCCTTTGCTTGTTTGTTTTGCTTCTTAAATTCCACATATAAGTGAAATCATATAGTGTTTGTCTTTCTCTGACTTATTTCACTTAGCATAATACTCTCTAGCTCTATTCACATCATTGCAAAGGGCAAGATTTCATTCTTTTTAAGGCTAATATTCCAGTGTGTGTGTGTGTGTGTGTGTGTGTGTGTGTGTGTGTGTGTGTGTGTACCACCTCTTCTTTATCCATTCATCAGTTGATGGACACTTGGGCTTTTTCCACAATTTGGATATTGTAGATAATGCTACTATAAACATTAGGGTGCATGTATCCCTTTGAATTAGTATTTTTGTACTCTTTGGGTAAATACCTGGTAGTGTGATTGCTAGATCATAGGATAGTCCTATTTTTTTAAAATTTGTTTAATGTTTATTTATTTTTGAGAGGAGAGAGACAAAGTATGAGAAGGGGAGGAGGAGAGACAGAGGGAGACACAGAATCTGATGCAAGCCCCAGGCTCTGAGCTGTCAGTACAGAATTTGCAATAGGGCTTGAACTCATGAACCTTGAGATCATAACATGAACCGAAGTAGGATGCTTAACCAATTGAGCCATCCAGGTGCCCCAGGGTAATCCTATTCTTTAACTTTTTGAGCAAACCAGAGTAGCTGCACTAGTTTGTATTCCCACCAATGCAAGAGGGTTCCCCTTTCTGCATATCCTCACCAACACCTGTTTCTTGTGTTGTTGATTTTAGCCATTCTGACAGGTGTGAGGTGGTATCTTAGAGTAGTCTTGATTTGTATTTCCCTGATGATCAGTGATGTTGAGCATCTTTTCACGTGTCTGCTGAATGTATGTCTTCTTCAGAAAAATGTTCATGTCTTCTCCTCATTTTTTAATAGGATTATTTGTTTTTTGGGTGTTGAGATTTATTAGTTCTTTATATGCTTTGGGTAATAAACCTTCTACACCTTATCAAATATATCATTTGCAGATATCTTCTCCCATTCTGAAGGTTGCCTTTTAGCTTTGTTGATTGTTTCCTTCACTGTGCAGAAGTAATCCCAATAGTTTATTTTTGCTTTTGTTTCCCTTGCCTCAGGAAACATGTCTAGAAAGAAGTTGCTATGGCTGATATCAAAGAAGTTACCACCTGAGTTCTCTTCTAGGATTTTTATGGTTTCAGGTGTCACATTTAAGTCTTTCATCCATTTTGAATTTACTTTTGGCTATGGTGTAAGAAAGTGGTCTAGGTTCATTCTTCTGTATGTTGCTGTCCAGTTTTTCCAACAGCAACTGTTGAAGAGTTAGTCTTTTTCCCATTGGACATTCTTTCCTGCTTTGTGGAAGATTAGTTGGCCATACATTTGTGGGCCCATTTCTGGGTTCTCTATTCTGTTCCATTTATCTAGGTGTCTGTTTTTGTGCCAGTACCATATTGTCTTGATGAATACAGCTTTGTAATACGGCTTGAAATCCAGAATTGTGATGCCTCCAGTTTTATTTTTCATTTTCAACATTACTTTGGCTATTCTGGGTCTTTTCTGGTTCCATACAAATTTTAGAATTGCTTGTTCTAGCTCTGTGAAGCATGCTGGTATTATTTCAATAGGGATTGCATTGAATATGTAGGTCGCTTTGGGTAACATAGACATTTTAACAATATTTGTTCTTCTAATCCATGAGCATGGAATTTTTCTCCATTTCTTTGTGTCTTCTTCAATTTCTTTCATCAGCTTTCCATAGTTTTCAGTGTACAGATTCTTTACCTCTTTGGTTAGGTTTATTCCTAGGTATCTTATTGGTTTTGGTGCAATTGTAAATGGGATTGATTCCTAATTTCTCTTTTTCCCTGTTTCATTATTGGTGTATAGAAATGCAACATATTTCTGTATGTTGATTTTGTATCCTGGGACTTTACTGAATTTGTTTATTAATTCCAGCAGTTTTTTTGTGGAGTCTTTAAGGTTTTCTATATATAATATCATGTCAGCTGCAAATAATGAAAGTTATACTTCCTCCTTGCCAATCTGGATACTTTTTATGTCTTTTTGTTGTCTGATTCCTGTAGCATAGTTATTTATTTATATTTTTATTCCCAGAGACTCATACTGTTTCTTATACAAAGTAAACATGTAGTAATGACTTGTTCAACTATAACTAATGAAAATAATAGTTATTTCCACTGAGTGCTTACCTTGTATGCCAAACATTGTTTCAATACTTACAACTGAGTGAGGGCATATAATCAGTCACATTTTGTGCAAAAATAAACTGAGAATTAAAGATATGAAGTAAGTTGCCCTAAATAACACAGTTAATATATGGCATAGCCAAGATTTAAATCTAATTCTAATTTTTTTTTATTTAACATTTATTTATTTTTGAGACAGAGAGAGACAGAGCATGAATGGGGGTGGGTCAGAGAGAGGGAGACACAGAATCTGAAACAGGCTCCTGGCTCTGAGCTGTCAGCACAGAGCCTGACGCAGGGCTCGAACTCATAGACCGCGAGATCATGACCTGAGCCAAAGTCGGCCACTTAACCGACTGAGCCACCCAGGCACCCCTAATTCTAACTGATTCCAAAATCATGCTCTTATTTGTTTGCTGGAAGAAAGAAAAGGAAGGGAGGGAAAGAAGAGAACAATAGCTTTAAAATTTTCTCTGTAAAGAGACTGATCAAAAGAAGTTCAATATGAAAAATTCATGTATTCGGTGGTTGTAAACTACTTTTTTCTTTAGAATTTTTAACTAGCATTCACTCTTACATAAGCTACTGTACATTATAAGATTATTTCCTGGACATATAATTTTTATTTCTGTATCACCTATATCTAAACTCCACAAAACTCTTAAATTGTTGTTGCGTGGATACATTTTATTTTTATTCAAGCTTAAGAGCAACACTGAGTTAATCAACTCTTCAATTCGCAGACCCTTTAGACAAATTATCATTCATTTACTAACTATGTAATCCAGAAAATATATACCAAAGAGATATTGATCAAATAGTTGCTAGCCGGGAAAGGGATGGCAAACGCAAAATTGAAATATGTGAAATGCTCATAAATTCACTCTTCAAAACACATTCTCATATTTTTTTAGCTACCCTAATCCTCGTCAGTGGACTGTCACTTTCGGTGTTTCAACAACATTTCCTAAACAGAGAAGAGGAGTAAGGACTATTTTAATCCATAGCAATTATAACCCTGCAACTCATGAAAATGATATTGCAGCTATACAACTTGACAGAGGCATCACCTTTACCAAAGATATCCATAGGGTGTGTCTCCCGGAGGCTACCCAGAATATTCCGCCTGGGTCTACTGCTTATGTAACAGGATGGGGATCTCAAGAATATGGCGGTAAGTGTCTCAGGAAAAATCAAACAACAACAACAACAAAATCTCCTGGGACTTGCTGTTATGTAATTTAATTAGGGAACACCTGAAGGACATGTTCTGTGGAAGGAACGACCCCATATTCTGATGAGTCCAACCTCTAGTTATTACTACATATCCTCAGCAAAGCAAAGCAGTGTCCCTAGAAATCATGGGGGATTCTCAAACATAGTAATAGGGAAATGTAAAATAAAAGTGGTGAAGAAACATGAGTTCTTCAATGAACCAGGGACTCTATAGGTCTCAAATGTCTCTCATATAAAGAAAATTTTTAATTTTGAAAAGAAGATTTTGATAGGTATTCTCTAAGGGTTTTAACACTCTCTAAGGTGTTAACAATCATTAAGGTATTCTGAGATGAAATGAATTCTACCTCTAGAGCAAGAAACTCTACACACATAAGCACTGCTCACTCTTTGTTTATTGAATGAATAATGAGGGCAATGTAAAAGAACAAATAGGGCCATGGTGAAGAGAATATCAACCAGGGCGTGGAAGGACACAGCATTAACAATTTCCACATGCTTCAGCTCATGCTGTAGATTGTATCTCCAAGAAATAATATGAAGACTTAATTGTCCTAGAAAATACCTCATTGTGTTTTCACCACTGAAAGTAATTTGGTGTAATAGATAAAATGTGTGCCAATCATAAAAATGGCAGTGCCATTTTGAAGGAACATCAATACAAGTAAAATAAATTATTTCTTTAGCCTTGAAACCAGACTGGTTTCTCCTTCATTGGTAAATTAAAGTTTACTCAATATGTAATTTTCCAATTCAAAGTCAGTCAGTGAATAACTTAAATGCTGCTAGTCAATATTAAAATAGCAGATATGTTTTGCTCTTGAGGTCCAAGGGGCACTGCATCACAAAGTAAGGTAAAAAAATAAAATTGATCTGTGGAGAGGGTTTATTCTTCTTTACTATGGGCATCTTTGCTGAAAAGAAACTCCCAATATATCTTCCATAGCCTGCTTTGCTAAATAAGATACAGTGTTTTGGAGTCCAGTTATTCCTTCCCATGTTTGACATAGAATCATTAATTTACCCATTCCATTTCTGCTTTATACTTCACAGGTAGCACAGTTTCAGATCTACAGCAAGCACGGGTCAGAATAATAAGTAATGATGCATGTAATGCACCAACTAGTTATAATGGAGCTGTTTTGTCGGGAATGCTATGTGCTGGACTACCTCAAGGTGGAGTGGATGCATGCCGAGTAAGTTCAAAATAATGTTATCATGTCATCATCCAAGTTCATAAGCACTTACTGGCATGTGATACTGTGATAAGCATAGAGGTAACATAATTAGAATACATAGCCCTGATCCTCCAAAAAATTGTTATATAGATTTTACAGTTAAAATTCTCTTATGAAATTGATCCAACATTAATTTTAAGAACTTTCTTTGTGATTTTTAATATAAATAACACCTGAATATCACCACCCTGAAGATAAAAAATGTACACAAAAAGCTTAGTTATTTCAGTCACAACAGTTTCTACAATTGTAAAACAGCACAAATGAGGGAGGGGGGAACTATTTAGATCGGTCCTGTCTTTTTAAACCAAACATAAAAATGAAAATAACTATGAAATTCTTACTTTAAAATAATTACAATAGGATTTTAATGCTAACATTTTTAATTAAATTATCTAAGCAATTAATGTGGTTATATCCTTTAATAGATTTTGATCCTATGTCTGAAATCCAACCTCATATAGTAACAGCAATAACTACTTAGTATCCAAAATTACATTTCTGGAATTAAGAAAAATTAATCTTTTCTTGGGGAATCTGCTGCTGTTTTGGGGGTGGGGGGAAATTGTATGCAGAAAAATCAAGTTTATTCTTTCCTCAAACAATGCTGACAGTTTTTTATTTCAATTTTTTTATTTCACTTTTTTATTTCAACTTAAATTCTAATTAACATATATGGTAAAATTGGTTTCAGGTGTAGAATTAAGTGACTTATCACTTACAGACAACACCCAGTGCTTATCACAAGTGCCCTCCTTAGTACCTATCACCCATCTAGCACATCCCCCACCCACCTCCCTCCATCAAACCTCAGTTTGTTCTCTATCTTTAAGAGTCTCTTATGGTTTGCATACATTACTGACTTTTATATTTTAGTTCTCACATTCTTGAAAAAATGGGTAAGAAGTAGCTCTTCCACAGTTTTTTCACATTTTGGGCATTTTCCCCTAAATGAAACATTTTTATTGACCACAAGTTGTGTATAAATGGAGAGGAACTGTTTATCAGTTTTCAAGAAACCATTAATTACCCATTAGCCCTTTGTTCCCTTTAAGTGGAGATGTCTTTGTGATAGGAAACACTTCTTGTTCCACTTCCTATTTTTTTATTGCCAGTTCTGTAACAAAAAATTCTCAAACTTCATAGTTTTCAAAAAGTTCACCAAATAAGTAACACACATCTACACTGACAATTCAGCATTAATTAGAACCGACTTAGGGAAACACATGAAATATAAAAGGTCATTACTCATGCCTTACTCAAAATGTCCCTTTCCTTCTGCATACACAATTTCCACTCTTCCCCTCAAGCCCAGATCAAGTCATCATGAAATTCCCCCTATGTGTTCCACTCTGGACCTCACTAATTTTCAGCTGAAATACTACAATACATAGAGTTTGTGCATCAGAAAGAACTAGCATTTGGGGCGCCTGGATGGCGCAGTCGGTTGAGCGTCCGACTTCAGCCAGGTCACGATCTCGCGGTCCGTGAGTTCGAGCCCCGCGTGGGGCTCTGGGCTGATGGCTCAGAGCCTGGAGCCTGTTTCCGATTCTGTGTCTCCCTCTCTCTCTGCCCCTCGCCCGTTCATGCTCTGTCTCTCTCTGTCCCAAAAATAAATAAACGTTGGAAAAAAAATTAAAAAAAAAAAAGAAAGAACTAGCACTTTACAAAAGAGATTATGAGATCATACTTGTTTCAGTTCATTTATTCATAGAAATTGTATGTTTTCTGTGCACCAGATACAGTGCTAGACAACTATGTGTTCCCTGCACTCATCAGGGCTATAGTCTAGAAGAGGGAACACAAGTTAAAATGCCTGCACAACCAGGCAGTGAAGCTGTCCAGATACAGGATAAATTACATGTCTCTCTTAGTTTAACACCTGCTCGTCCACTCTTAGATATTATGCAGAGAAATTCCTTACTAGAAAGAATAGCAGCAGAAGCACAACGATGAAAAAGAACTGGGTAGCTGGAGCACGAACACACAACCTGAAGGCGGCAGGTGCCAATCAGCTCCATGCAGTGCTTGCCATGCGATTGGTGATTCACACACTGACCCTTCTCCCAATCTAAACCAGTAATTAGAAGAGCTAGCTACAAAGTGTAGTCAAATGAATAGCAAAGCATTCTAAAAGCACACTTGATAATAGTTGGCTTTTATTAGTAGTACAGACTGTATGCCAGGCTATACTGGAAGTGTTACATGTATAAAACTCATTTAAACATATAGAAACATTACTCATAGATGAGGAAACTGAGATCAGAAAAGCTATTAAATACTTTACTGAAGGTCATATGGCTGAGAAGTGGAGAATTCTTCTTACCCAGTCTATCTAACTCCAGAACCCACAGACTCAATCTACCATGCAGCATGTAAAATGGACTAAATTTATCTCCCCAGCTAGATTATTGCATGTACAAATATTTGTTGGTTGGGTTATTATAATTGGCCAGTATTTCATAAGGAATGTTTTACTCATTGCCTTATAAATTTCTTTGTGATTATTCACCAAAGAATACTTTTTGATGATATATTATTATCATCAGACACCATGCAGGTACTATGAATAGGAAGATAAATGAAACTTCATCCATTCAACAAATATTTGCTTAGCATCTCCTGTGAGCTAGAAGCTTAGGATATAGCAGGGTCCAGAATAAGTATGCCTTCCCTGGCAGACCTTACAAAATAACCAGAAAAACAGACAATGAATAAGTATACTAAATGCTGTGAGTTTTGCAGCAATGTGCGGCTGTCACAAGGGGAATTGGTGCAAGGGAGTAAGTTCAAACAGGCATACAATGTGTTTGCATAAAATAATATAGAAGTGGTGAAAGAGATACACACAAGATGTGGAACACAGGAAGTAAAAAACCAACCCAACCCAAAGCTAGAAGGGGTGGCGGTGGGAAAGAAGGCACAGCCCTGTGAAAGCTTCCTGGAGGAGGTAAAGTCTAGGATGGGAAGCAGTCCACCAAGTGACTGAGGACAGTCTGGGAAACATGCACCTCATCTTCTCACACCTGAGGAAGGAACAGTGTGTGTTCTTAAAGGATTTTGGTTAATTTTCACATGAAATTGGTACACTATTTCAACTTGCTGTAACATTTCAACAGGAAATGTCAGATTATTTTTATTGTCATAATGAGTGTGACTTCTACTGACAGAAATAAACTCCTTAATACTTCAGGGTGGTCTCACACTTAAATTCAATCATTGTGTTTCTTTCAGGGTGACTCTGGTGGCCCACTAGTTCAAGAGGACTCACGGCGGCTTTGGTTCCTTGTGGGGATAGTAAGCTGGGGGGATCAATGTGGTCTGCCAGATAAGCCAGGAGTATATACGCGAGTGACAGCCTACCGTGCTTGGATAACTGAAAAAACTGGGGTCTAGAGCAATAAAGGCATCTCTGTGGCAAAGTCTGTATGCTGGTGTACGTCTAAAATTCCAAAACCTTGCCTTTCAGCTGCAAAAGAACCCGAAATTGCCCTATTTTAACCTCCTGTCACATAAATATCGTTTCACAAACACAATTTGTTCTTTATTACTACAGATTTTGTTTTCTCAAGAAAGCTATATGAATGTTGCATAGTATTGTGGCTGTGTGCCAGGGGAAACATGTAAACTAGTTACAGAGGTAACAATTTTATTACAGTTGTGATAAGAGCTCATAGTGAGAAAAACAGGTACCCTGAGAGAAGATATTAGAGGAATCTGGACAAGTCTGCAGCATTGGAGGAGTCTTCCCTGAAAAGTCTCACTGAAGCTGATAATGGTAGAATAATAGTCAAGGCAGCAAGAATAGCACGAGGAAATAAAAATCCTATTTACTTGAAATTTCTGGTTACTCAATAGGCGGTGTAAGTCCTAAAATTAAATATGTGAAGTCATTGTACAGCAATCTTAATTACCCTATAAGAACACACTCCCAAAGAAACTGAGGAATTTCAGGTATTTAAGATCAAAGCTAAAATAGTCACTGCTCAACTGAGACCCAAAGAATTATAATTTTTATGATGAATTTTATTAAAAATATCTTGGGGCACCTGGGTGGCTCAGTCAGTTAAGTGCCTGACTCTTGGTTTCAGCTCAGGTTATGATCTCCACACTTCGTTGAGATCAAGCCCTGCATCAAGCTCTAAGTTGACAACGTGGAGACTGCTTGGGATTCTCTCTGTTTTTTCTCCACCCCTCCCCACTCTCTTTCTCAAAATAAATAAATAAACTTTAAAAATATCTCTCATCTATGTGAAAGAGAGAATTTACTTCCTCTGTAAACTGATGAAAGACACCTGTGCAACCTTCTTAAGTAACTTCCAACTATACAGTGCTTTTGAACAACTAAGTAGGAATAATCTTAAGAACTAAAGATCACCCCAGTGGTGGTCATTTTTGAGAATATAAGGACCCTCAATAGCTAAATCCAAGTAATGAATTTAAAGTCAAATGTGAAGTTATTTTGCAAAAAGAAGGGTTAAACAGTTTAATTTCAGTAAAACTGTCTTGGGGTGCCTGGGTGGCTCAGTCAGTTGAGCGTCTGACTTTGGCTCAGGTCATGATCTCATGGTCTGTGGGTTCTAGCCCCGTGTCGGGCTCTGTGGTGAGGCTCAGAGCCTGTGCTCAGAGCCTGGAGCCTGCTTCAGATTCTGTGTCTCCCTCTCTCTCTGAGCCTCCCCCGTTCATGCTCTGTCTCTCTCTGTCTCAAAAATAAACAAACATTAAAAAAAAATTAAAAAAAATAAAACTGTTTTAGAAAAGAAATGTCTCTCTCCTTTTTTCTCCCTTTCTCTTCCTTACACACACATTACCAATGAACGTAAATAAAATCCATTAAAATTTAATGGCACAGTAATTTATGTAGTTTGAATCACGAATGTAACTGAATTTTTATGGGATCCTGACATTAATTAAAGCTTGGTTACGCATGACCATCTATGTGTCAGGGCTTCCTCCTTCTAAAAGCTAACTCACAACACCTGGGCATCAGAACTACAACATGCATTGTGATAAAAACTTCTTGTATTTCCTCATGTAAATTGTGAAGAGACCTACAGTGGAGTCATTTACTTTTAAGGAAAAGAAGTTGAAAATTTAACTAACTTGGTGAAATGTGCAAATTATTGATACATGTCATTTCAAATAAACTCTTTTAAAACCATTTCCCTGCCTAAGAATTTATGGAAGTTATGATTTATGAATGGCAATCCAAACCATTTATTTAATTGGTTCTCCAACAAGAGAATTGCCAAGCCGACTCTAAAGGCTTGGTACTTTCTGCTGCCTTATAATCAAGCTCTATAACTGAGGCAAGCGTCCAGCCTGACACTCCCTGGCTTCACCTGGTGAGGACAATGTTAAATTGGTAACTTAGTGTAAGCCTCAAGGGGAGCATGTTTTTGTGTATAGGTGTGTTGGTGTGTACATGTTTGTGTGTGTGTGTGTGTACATGCCCCCACATATTCATAAACATTTTTATTTATTCCTATGTATTGAAAGCTATATAAAGTACTTATTTAGCAGAAAACAGAACAAATTCAATTTATTGAAAATAAAATATTATTTAGCAAATATGTTTATTTATAAGAGAAGGAATATCTGAGGACCTTCTTTATTTATTTTTAACGTACTAATGGGTTCCATGTTACTGACAGCTAAGTAACTCCATGAAAGCAATTTTAATATTTATGGGAGGTCCTAGAAGATTCAGGAGAAATATTTTATAATATCAAAAGGGAGTCTTCCAGAGTACCACTTTGCCATGAATAATAATTACTCTCGTTTAAATGGGAATGGAACAAAGAACTTCTTAGATTATTTATCTAAATCTGTCATAGATTCTAATTTACACAATTCAATTTCTATTTTCCAGTTTGCTAAACATTAAATGGTTCAAACAGATCGAAAATAGTTGTTTTCTTTCCATTTTTCATATGTCTATGTAATCCAAATCTCAAAACACAGCCCTTTTCATTTCTAATCAGTTTGATTAATCTCCTATGGGGAAAACAGATCTTTTCCAAGCATATTTCAAGTGACTCATTTCTATAAGCATCAGTTGTCTTTTTAAGGACAGGTCCCTTGTCAAGGGAGATACTTAAGCAAAATCTGGATGATCACCTGCAGAAATGTTTTAAAGGATTTCTGCAAAAGGTCAGGCTTAAAAATAGATTATTTCCATGGTCCCCTCCAGGCTAAGATTCTACTCACAATTAGGAAATAGTTTGGGGGAAGCATAAGATCTCTGAGAGAGAGAGGAATTTCAGAGTATTGGGACATTGTTTAAGCTGGTGCACAACCATAAAACATACATCATCTAGAGTAAATAAATCAAACTGATCAAAATTCAAATAAAGTAGAAATCCATTTTGGAGGGGGAAAAAAAAGCAACTGAATGAAACTGAGGAATTCAAAAAGCAAACAGAACTCTCAGAGCGTTTTCCAGGGTGACCTCTACCTTTAACCTCCAATCATACAAATTAGACTGAAAGTACTAATGCAATAAAAATCAGGGAATACATTAATAAAAGGGTTTTTCCCTACAAAATTCATCCATCTAACCAGTCATTCATTGTTTTACCCATCATTTGTTTATCAATAGCTTTTGAGCACTTATAATGTGCCAAGCTTTATTCTGATCTAGTCAAGCCAACTTCTAGGAAAGAACAAGCCTGGCAGAGAAACAAGCAAGTATAACTTGTCCTGAGATGACAAGTTTGTGAGTTCGAGGAACAGTAAGAAGTCAATGTGGTTGGAGTAAAACTACTGAAGAAAAACATGTGTTAGAGGAGGTTGAAGAAATAGGTACATGGGCCAAAGAAGTTTTGATTTTATTCTAAATTTGAGGGCAAGACTTTGGAGGAGAATCACAACACCTGAGTATCAGAACAACTACATTCACTATGATGAAATCTTATACTTCCTCATGTAAATTGTGAAGTGACCTACGCTGAAGTCATTTACTTCATGGAAAAGAAGTGCAAATTTAACCAACTTGGTGAAATATATACACAAATTGTTGGTATACCTTATAACAAATAAACTCCTTTAAAATCATTTCCCTGCCAAAAGACCTTTGACAAAATCCAGCACCCTTTCTTAATAAAAACCCTTGAGAAAGTCAGGATAGAAGGAACATACTTAAAGATCATAAAAGCCTTTAATGAAAAGCCCACAGGGGCGCCTGGGTGGCTCAGTCGGTTAAGCGTCCGACTTCAGCTCAGGTCACGATCTCACGGTCCGTGGTGAGTTTGAGCCCCGCATCGGGCTCTGGGCTGATGGCTCAGAGCCTGGAGCCTGCTTCCGATTCTGTGTCTCCCTCTCTCTCGGCCCCTCCCCCGTTCATGCTCTGTCTCTCTCTGTCTCAAAAATAAATAAACGTTAAAAAAAAAAAATTAAAAAAAAAAAAAAGCCCACAGCTAACATCATCCTCAACGGGGAAAAACTGAGAGCTTTTTCCCTCAGATCAGGAACACGACAGGGATGCCCACTCTCACCGCTGTTGTTTAACATAGTGCTGGAAGTTCTAGCATCAGCAATCAGACAACAAAAGGAAATCAAAGGCATCAAAATTGGCAAAGATGAAATCAAGCTTTCGCTTTTTGCAGATGACATGATATTATACATGGAAAATTCGATAGACTCCACCAAAAGTCTGCTAGAACTGATCCATGAATTCAGCAAAGTTGCAGGATACAAAATCAATGTACAGAAATCAGTTGCATTCTTATACACTAACAATGAAGCAACAGAAAGACAAATGAAGAAACTGATCCCATTCACAATTGCACCAAGAAGCATAAAATACCTAGGAATAAATCTAACCAAAGATGTAAAGGATCTGTATGCTGAAAACTATCGAAAGCTTATGAAGGTAATTGAAGAAGATTTAAAGAAATGGAAAGACATTCCCTGCTCATGGATTGGAAGAATAAATATTGTCAAAATGTCAATACTACCCAAAGCTATCTACACATTCAATGCAATCCCAATCAAAATTGCACCAGCATTCTTCTCGAAACTAGAACAAGCAATCCTAAAATTCATATGGAACCACAAAAGGCCCCGAATAGCCAAAGTAATTTTGAAGAAGAAGACCAAAGCAGGAGGCATCACAATCCCAGACTTTAGCCTCTACTACAAAGCTGTCATCATCAAGACAGCATGGTATTGGCACAAAAACAGACACATAGACCAATGGAATAGAATAGAAACCCCAGAACTAGACCCACACACGTATGGCCAACTCATCTTTGACAAAGCAGGAAAGAACATCCAATGTAAAAAAGACAGTCTCTTTAACAAATGGTGCTGGGAGAACTGGACAGCAACATGCAGAAGGTTGAAACTAGACCACTTTCTCACACCATTCACAAAAATAAACTCAAAATGGATAAAGGACCTGAATGTGAGACAGGAAACCATCAAAACCCTCGAGGAGAAAGCAGGAAAAGACCTCTCTGACCTCAGCCGTAGCAATCTCTTACTCGACACATCCCCAAAGGCAAGGGAATTAAAAGCAAAAGT